CTTTTCTTGCCCAAAGACCATACAACAAGGGAAAGTCCCACTTGGGGGTGAGAGGACAATTCCTCTCACCCTATATATATAAAGGAATTGTCCTCTCACCCCCAAGTGGGACTTTCCCTCGTATGGTCTTTGGGCAAGAAAAGTCCTTCCGGTGTGATACTTTTCCAAAATATTGTTGCTGCTCAGTGACTGAAGACCAACCGTTCAGTGAAAGAGCCACTGTTTATCAAGCGTGCAAAAAGCATCTCATAGAGGCAGGAAAAGATGAGGCTGGAACAGTGGCTTGTTTGGGGCAAACCATCGCTGTAGCAGGTTGTTTCAAGAATCCAGTTTAGGGTCTGCAAACATGCAGGCATTCGAATGATTATTGCTTCCTTCAGTGGAGGCTTTAGGAGGGGGCAAATTGGGCGGGTGATCCGGGTCCTGATCCACTGACCTCCCTTTCCCTAAGAAACGAGGCTTAGATTTTCCCAGCATTTGGCTGTTCATTCATTCTTTTAATTTATGTACTGTATGTATGAAAAAATCATACAGCTCCTGATGGTTTAGGATCGTAAAAATGGCACACACCAAAGTTAAACGCAGTAGAAATTCAACACAAAAGTTAAACAGTAGTAAAAATGACAATATGATGGTGCCAGTCTGCACTGGGCAATAGCAGAAGGCCTGTGGAACAATTCCATCTTGGCAGCTTTGCGAAAGACCTCCAGAGTCCTGCCAGTCTGACCTGTGGAAGGAAGTTATTCCATAAAGTAAAGTTCCCATGGAACATGGGGATTCTGTTTTATCATCAGCTGGCAGTCTTGGGTTGGGAGGGTCCTCTGCCCAAACAGCTCACGGCAAGACCCTGGTGTGGGTGCAGCATCCATGCCAGCCTGCGGCTGTCCACCAGGTCAAGGAACACAATGGCAGACCATTCCACAGCCCTCCAACAGGTCGTGGCTTCGGGAAATTGCTCTCTGTGCTTGGCCCGGTGTTAAACCATGGTTTAAGCATGCACAGGGATTGACTAGGTTCACTCAGTATGCCGAGTGTGAACCCTGCTGGGCCAACCAAAATGTTGGAGAAGCCGGGATCCGACGTTTTGCCGTTTGCACCCAGTAACCTAGGTCACAGATCAGACTGTGCTATGGTTTATCAACTACACCAGTTGGCTGAGTTCACCCAATGCACTCATTAACCCTAGTTTACAACCCCTAATGGCTAGGTATTCGATCACCCTGCCTCCTCCCCCTCCCCCACGATAAAAGTCAATTGATGGGTCCTGCCAACTCTTTTCCATATATCCAAGGCAGGATTGGGCCGAATGTATACATTCAAGAGGTCCGGAGACCCTGATATCCCCAAAGATCGGACTTCAGAGAATCAGCCTTTGGACTCCAGGCGGGCGATCAAGGCTTCCTTGAAGGAAGGGGATGCTCTGATTGACAGAACAATTAGCAATTTGGCAAGGAGCCTCAGGACCTGGGGCGCTTGTGTCTGAGGGGGTGGACCCCAAAAAGGGATCCTCAGTTGTGGATTCAGCCTGAAGAAGGAGCCCAACACTGAGCAGAACCACGGGCTTTACAAGAAAGAGGGACCCCAAACAAGGGGAAAAGGAAGGTTTTTACAGGAGTGGGGGCTACAAGGCAGGAAATCCTTGGGATCTGATTGGCTGGGGTGGGGTACCTGCGGGTACCTTTCAGGAGTTAATTGAGAAGGAGATGGAAGGTTGAGACAACGGGGGGTGTCCCTAATGGAAGATGGGAAGTTGGGGTTCCTCACCTTGCTACTGTGTCCCTTCCCTCCTATACGGATGGGAGTCCTGGCCTCTGGACCCCACCCCACCTCAAACAACTGGAGAAATTCCACATCTGTGCTCTCTGCTCCATCCTTGGCAAGATCATGTCTCCGGCCTGGAGGTCTCGGATCGCGTGGAGTCCACCAGCAAGGAGTCCCCGATTATCAAGAGCCCTGATGCGGTGGGTGGGACCCGTCATCAGAATGGACGACCACCGTGCGCCTCGCCAGTGGTGGTAGAGCAGGGTTTCTCAACCTTGGCAACTCTAAGATGCGTGGACTTCAACTCCCAGAATTCCCCCACCCAAGCCACTTTGGGTGGGGGGATTGGTTGGGGGGGTGTCGCCCCCCTCATTTTTGGTGTTAGTGTAGGAATCCGC